TTGAAGGGACCATCCTGTCCCCACCACTCTGCGAGGCCACCTGTGACATCTGTCCAGAGACTGCCTAGTTGTGAGTCTGTTTCTGGACTATGTTCTCATCCATTGGTGAATTTTGGTATCCTTGAGTTTATAGAACCTTGACTAATTACTCTAGCCTGGTATTCTTAATTTCTTGTAGAAAACTCTGTTCTCTTTTTATCAAAAATCAATGTCTTCTCATGGCTCTTTTTATTTCTATGTTAATATTATACTAACATCATTCTCTGTTTATATAATACTAATATACTATTTCTACATTAACGTCACCCAAATACAGGAGGCATTTGATTAGAATTCCATAAGTTAGTCCAGGAAACATGGCGTCGATGTAATATTGAGAATCCCAATCCATAAACTTGGAGCTTCTTTCCATTGCTTTTACTCTTCTTTCATGCCTGTAACTAAGTTTTCTAGTTTATCGCTGCATTGCTCTTCTATGTGTTTTGTCATATTACTCCTAGACATTTTTTTCTTGTTCGTGTACTTAGTATGTTTTCTTTCATTTCATTTTGTAATGGTTGGTCTCAGGAAGACTAAATGTTTTCAGTAAGTGTATTTGATTGTAGCTTTATGAGTGATCTTTATACTTCTCTGAATTTTCTGGTTTTATTAACTTGTTGCTGTGGATTTATATTACTTGCATTAACACAAGAAACAATAAAGCAACTTTCTTTCAAAGCCTTTTTTGATAAGCCTTTGTCAGCTGAGGTCTGACAGTGTGTGCAAAGCTCGCAGACCTACGTCCTGGAAAGCTCTAGGGTGCCGCAGTTTGGAGCTGCTGGTTCAAGGACAATTTCAGAAGGTTTGGAAACAGAGGAGCATGTGTGTAAGGAATGACGGGAATGCTGGTATGAAACCCAAGCACCCGAGTCATCAACTCCTGATACCCCAGGGACCAGACCCCATTCTGGGCAACTTCCCACTGAGGAAAGGGAACTGAAAAGAACTAAGGTTGAGGCAACAGAGATGAGGGTGGAGGCCTCTGAGATGTGTTGTCTGAGATGCCTGGGCCCTCGGCTCCACCAGGGGGCGCAGTGTGATGTGCTACCCGCCTCCCATGCCCTGGGTGAGGGCTCCCAGCCACGTGGGTATCAGGGCTTCTTTCTCTCTCTCTATTCATTCTGCTGAGCAGACGTCTCCCACAGTTTGAGAGTCTTACCGAAACAAGCTGTCCCTTCAAAGTAGAGAAGAGAGCATAGTATCTCTCCTGGGACAAGAATGATTCAACCATGCAAGCGACGGTGAACAGCAGATTGGCACAATTTGGGCGCAAGACGTTTCTTAGAGAACCCAGGCAGGCCAGGCTTACTTGGCTGGCTTAGGGCAAAGCGTGTCAACTTTCTCTTTCTCGCAACGGGGGAGCATTGATCTGTCCCCTGCACCTGGGGGTCTGAGAAGCGCACGTCTGTGGGGTTTGCTGCATTGGAAGCGCTGTAACAACACCCAGCAGTATCACTATGAATAATTACCATCACTGTCTTCCTCCTGGCAAACAGTGTGCATTCGTGATCTCTCCAGCCTGCGTGATCCTTCCTCCTGTTTCCCCTTCCCAAAGGCCTCTCCTGATAATAGAAAGCAAACCTCCCTTAAGGTCACGGCTAAAGTCAGGCCGGTCTGAACTTTGCTCCAGATTCTGTCAAGTGAGGATTTACTTAACAAAAGAACACACGTCAGGGATGAGTCTGATTTCTAGTAATTGGCTTTGATTTTCTCACACTGTTTCATTAGAGAACATGAGCTCATGGGCTCCTGCCTCTTAAATGTCCCTAACCCCTTACATCCCAGCCACACGCAAGTTGCTTTTCCTAAATACTTCTCCCCACCACCCCTTTTCCCATCCACCCAACCCTCCAGAAGCAGCAGAGTGGCAGCAGCCAGAAGCTTCGCTGCTCATTGGGAAAAAAGGGACCAGGAGGCCTTTAACCAGTTTAAGATCCAACAAAGATTTGATAGAGTCAGGTTTGCCCTTTATATTTGCCCAGCATTTGGTACCTTTCAAAGCCCCTATTGCGTCTCTTCTTTAAGATTGTCCTCAAAAGCAGTTGTGGGCTTGAGAAAGAAAAGTCTGCCCCCTTTACAGATCAGGACACTGAGGCACACCCAATTACACTCGTGTTGAAAGCTGCACAGCCCAGGGCAGTTTCAAATTTTTCCGTCAACCTAAAACTGCTTTAGAAATAAAGTCTATTTATCGAAAAAGCAAAAAGTACATGATGATGCCATTAAAAAAAAAGAGAGAGACTGTGTTTCTATGTATGTGTGCATGAACCTAGAAAAATATCCAGAAAGATCTACACCAAAATATTTATATTGTAGCCCTTAAGGTTTACATCATGGATGGGTTTTATAGTTCCTGATTTTTCTGACTCTGAGTCTGTTTGCAGTACACACTACTGATGCTGTAAAGCTCATAGGAAACTGTAAAATAGTTGTGTCAGCAACAAAAGAAAGGAAAGGAAAGCAGAAGTCTGTCTTCATTCATGACTTCTCTTGGATGAAGCATGAACTTGAGTTAAAAAGTACATTTTCAGAGGACAGTCTGGAGAAAGACCAGACATTCCAGGCTGCCTGTTGAAGGCAGAGAATAAGTCCGGGAGAGTAGAGGAAGCAGCTGGGGGCCAAACATGGTTTGCGGTCAAAGGAGTGTTTGATTTGCTAGAAGTCAGAGACTCAGGGCAGAGCTCTTCCAAGGAAGCGAAACTAAGAGCAGCCCAGACTCAGGGCAGAGCTCCTCCCTTCCAAGGAAACGAAACTAGCAGCAGCCCAGTCCCCGG